ATCGAAACTACCTTCCACTCAGCTTTACCGCCTGTAGTCCAAGCGTCAATGGTCTGAAATTGGACAAAATGGCTCAGTCGATGTTTGAATTTTTACAAAGACGATTTTGATCGCAATTGAATACAAGCGCCACCCGACCGATGTATTCTTTGACTAAAAGCGTGCGTTGCTGGTAGTCAATCTATGTGCTAAATGTTAGAGTTCAGCTAATAACAATCAATCTTTTCCCCCTTTCCATTACAATGTCGCTTTGTCTACTCCCAACGACTTAACTGTTGCGAATAATATTGTCGTTATCCCTCGTTACACTGTTGGGAATGCGACCGATCAATTTCACGCAGATAAAATGTCGGTGAATGCCTTCCGTTGATCACTATTTGACGCATAAATTTGCGTTTCGATTTCCCACTATATCGGTCCAAGAAAAATCGTTTCGGCATTCTTTGGAAACACAGCCGGCACAAGTGCGCCCAAACGAGATGAGAAGCTAAATAACAATTAGGTCATAAAAAGATAATAAAATAATAACTTGATAAAGCCCCTTGAGCTTTATCACTGAAGGTATAAAGCCTCCAAGGCGTAAAGCCATTTGCCTAATAAACCAGAGTCTGTGAATATTATTCATATATGCGGAATGGGTTTATCATATTAAATAATTCAAAAGTGTATAAATATGAAATGTTCCCTGTTACAACGCTAAGCAATAATGGCAACTGTAAGGTGGGCGTTGAACATATCGACTCAGTTTCAAGGGAAAAAATTTCTAGGCTATGTTTGGAACGGCAGGAACACAATGGGGCATAAAAGAAAAATATAAAATTTGCCTCATAAAAGAATGCCGGAATAAACTGTTTTTGCCCCGCAAGGAATACGGGGAAACAATACGCAAATATTCAGAATATTGAGGCCTATTCATCACGTCAGTCCGATGGGATAGTGAATGTTGCGCGCTCTATTGAGGCCAGTTACTTTTGCCGAAAAGCCCCTATGGACCATTTGCCTAATTTTTATGAATAAGAGCAGCCTGTTTTGTTCTAATTTGCTGCATCCAGAGCGTTCATGCATGTGTCCAACATGTTGATAAACTTGCAGCAACGGTGAATACTAGGTGAACAATCGTATGCTGATGAATTATGTAGAACGGGCATAAAATTCAGTAAATTGCCAATAAAGTCGCTCCTTTAAAAAGAGGAACAAGTGGAATAATGCTAAACAGACCATAATGAAGGGGATTTGCATAAAATAAAAGTCAAACTTTGGGCATTGTAAATATTCGCCGTCTAGTCGCCTTTCGTTCACTATCTATTTACGGTCGCGAAGTTTTTCAATTAAAAAGTTGCGGAACTAATCCCACAAGTTGCTGCTGATAACTTTATTAATCGTGGGAATTGCGCCAGGTAGAATTATTATTATTACCAGGCCCGCACTCTTTCGGCTGTTCATTTGCATTTAAAAAGTGGTTTATCCAATGTGGATAAAAGCGCTCTGCTAATGTTGCAACTTCCATAAACTCGCCGTTCGTTCCCAAGATCTCCATGCCGAGCCGACGAAAAAGTAACCGGAACTTGCGGTGTTTTAACTCCTCCCGGCGGTTTGAGTTCGTGTTTCGCAGTAATCCAGTAAACAGTTGACAAGTTTCGCTTTAGGTAATATGAAAATATTGGAAAAGTTTCACTTATTGGAATCAGAATCTGCACAAATCCTCTTTCGGCTTCACTGTCGCCGTTTTTAAGCAGAGAGCTTTTTTATGTCTGTCCCCAAACATTCCTATCCGACTTTTTGTCACATAAACAGCGCGCTTCACTGATTATTATGTCTGTTTTAGGGTGCACTCCCGACTTTTCGAGAGTCGACTTCTTTACGATAAAAGATTTTTTATTCGGTCTCTACGTCCATCCAGTGAATCAGCGCAGATTATGCGACCATTTGTTTGAAATGAGACTTGTGGTCATTGTTTGTTGGTCCAAGAGTAATTCGACACTGTTCTGTGAAATTTTCTTATGCGTTTAAAAAATTACCTTCCAGAAGTTGTTGGCATGGGACATCCTATGTACTAGAAAACCCCAACATCTCTGGGAAACAAACAGGAAAATGGGTTTAAATCGGAATAATTGTCAGTGGATTACAAAAGCAAAAGCTGTAGTCCTGCATATAAATTTGCAAAATCCTTGGAAAATTGGCCGCATTAACCCAGGATAAAATCGTCTTTTTTTGCTGAAGCAAACCGATCGAGACTCGATTTTCCCGTTCATGGCATGAAATAAAAATGGGGAACCAGTGTGGCCAACAGCCCGGTGCTTAATGTTTTGCAATGCACCCTCTATTTACTCGGGGTTTAACGTTGTCCAGGGCTTTTTTGCGCTTATTTTTGTCTGTGTCTGAGTTACTTTGACGTCGGGATTGTTTTCAACGGCAAATAACACTATTTTAAACGGGCCGATTCGCCCAGCGGAAAACAGTTGCGCCCAACCGAGGCCGAATCGTTATTTATGCAGTTTTGTCTTAGTCCGACTGAATTAAATGCGTTGTTTTAACAGGAAATTTATATCGCACGAAACGAAACCGATATTTTTGATAAATCAAACTGTGAAGGCTTCCACGGCCGGTCAAATCACATTTGGAAATGTTTTTCGGGCTTTGAAGCCGAGGTCCAGGGGATTTTCTTCCTGACGTTTCGTCCACAATTGCGGTGGACATTATCAAAGGCGATGATGCAGGGCGAAGTGTTCTCCCGTGCGACAATATTATTCGCAACAGTTAAGTCGTTGGGCGTGACTCGTTTGTAGACAGAGCGACATTGTAATGGAAAAAGGGA